CGGGAGGGGGCGGTGGGACGGCGCTTGTCGGCCCTGCGCACGCCCCGGCAGTGATGTCCCTCTGTGCCTCCCACAGCAACCAAGACGACTACCAGCTAGTCCGGAAACTCGGGCGCGGGAAGTACAGCGAGGTCTTCGAGGCCATCAACATCACCAACAACGAGCGTGTGGTGGTGAAAATCCTCAAGGTGAGTGTCCAGGGCCTGACCCAGGGGTGCTTGTGGAGTGGGGCAGCCCTCCCTGGGCTCAGACAAGAGCTGGGGGAGGGGCCTTGGGGAGGGTGATGTGGATGGGGCGGGGGGAGGGGGGGGGGATGGCATCTAGCTTGCCACTCATCCCGGCTTTGTCTCTGCCTCGCTCACCCTCTCCAGCCCAGAGATGCCCAATCTGTGGCTGTGAACTGTGCAGCTTGCACCCTGCTGTGCCATCTTGGTGCCTTCTCTATCTTCCTGTGTAGCTGGTGTCAAAGGTGCTGGGTTGGACGGGGGCTGCGAGCAATTTGGGTTGGGTGGCGTGCGTCTCGGTGCGCAAATGGTGTTGCCTGTGCTGCCTGTACTATGTAAATGATTTTCTGAGGACGCTTGGCCCGAATGGCTGGAGGATGGTCCTGGCTGCCCTAACATGAAGCCTTGGAGTGGAGACCCTGGTATTTGTCTTTAGATGGTTGGTGTTCATCGTTCTTAGAGCCAGGCTGTCTGAAGATAAGCAGCCTGGCTTTTGGTGAGGGGCAGGGAGCAAACTAAACCTCAGATTCTGCACTTGGAAAATTGTATGTTTTAGGGCAAATACCTGCTGTTTTGTGCAGAGTAAATGGAATCGACCATTGGCACAGAGGGGGACTCCTTTGGTTGTCAGCACAGTTATCTTGAGTGATCACATTCCAATGCAGTTGGCTTGCTAAAGATGTTGTGGTGGTAAAACCATAGTAGTCAGGGTCAGTCAAGTGCTCCAGGCTGGCACATGGGGAGGAAGTTCTGGTATCACTGCAGCTTTAGATGTCCTGTGGAACCAGCAGCCAAGGCTTGTGAAGGGACCAGTAACCACCATTGAGCAGCACTCTTTGCTTGATGAAGGTGGGATTGGTGAAATTCCAAAAATGCTTTGGGCAGCCCAGTGCCTGGGGCCTTTGTTTCCATGTCTGGCAGCATTTTTTTTGCTTCTCCCCCTGACATTAGAATTGTTGAGAGTTGGGGCTGTGCATCAGCCCCAAGTACTACAACAGGGGAAGTCTGTATTTATGAAGTGGCCTCCCAGCTGCTGTGGCTGGTGGCTAGCTGTTGTACATGTGTTCACACAGGCCCTCTTCCTCAGAGCAGTATGTACTCAGCAGCCTGTGTGTTGGTCATTAGGTCTGACAGAGTCCTCCAGACAGACTGGGTTGTGCCAAGTGCTTAACTAGCATTGGTGCTGCTCCTCTCCTCTAGGTCAGGTGGCCCACTCATTCATCAAGAGGCTCTGCTTCCTCTTCCTGCTTCCTCATCTCCCTATTTGACTTGCTTTGCTGCGGGTCTCAGTTTGCCTGGCGACAGTTGCTAGGTAAGTTGTGAATTTCTATCCTGCCTTTGCCTCAGGAGGAGTTAGTCATGTTAAAAACTTAACTGGTGGCTCCAAATTAAGATGGCAAAGTTACGCGACTCTTCAGTGAGTGCCAGTCTGGTTTGGCACCAGGAAAGAGTCCCCTTCTTCCTCCCCACACTGGGTGATCTCTCCTGGTTTCAGACTGGTTCAGTCTACTTTGGGATTTGGAGGGTATAATTTCAGCAAGACACGTGGTGCTCTCCCCAGGGCCTGACTATACTGTCACAGTTATGCTGCCAGTGCCTGCTGGCTGTGGAAGGGAGAGAATGAACAGTTCCAGACTTGGGCCTATTGTGCTGCTTGCTGTGTTCACATTAACATGTTAACCCAAATTCTTACGAGTCACAGGGTAAAATTGGAAGGTACTGGGAAATAAAGGTGCACTTTCTTCAAGGTAGAAATTGGGTCTAGTAAGTAAGAGTAAGCCTTGCATCACCATGTTGGGTGTGATGTTAAAAAAAAATCCTAGCCTGTGGAAAGAATGTCACCATCCAAGATATAATTCTCTGTAACATTTGTAATTAAGTCTATTTTCTCTTCTTTAGTTTTAGCACATGGGATATATTTTACTGGCCCTTTGTATTCAACATGTGAAGTGGAAACCTAAGCCAGCATGTGATGAGTTTTGCGTGTGCTTCAGGTTGAGCTGGTAGAGGGAGGGAAATGCATGGTTATGGATACAGGTGTTTTGTACCTTAGTCTTAGGTAACAGTTCCTGAAATGGGAACCCTTTTGTACTCTCAAAACAAGTTTTTTAATGCCAGTTGCCTTGTATCTTTTTCTTTGGGGTCCATGGCTAAGATGGCATACAACCTGGAGCAGTGCTTAGGTCAGCTGTTCAACTTTTTCCCCTCTCTTTCTGTTCAGTTCAGCACTTGTCTTATGCTTATTTAGTGCAAGATGGTGTGTTGTAGAGATCTATTTTCTTTTCTTTTATAAACTGCTCTTCTGTGGCTCTCAGCATTGTACTTCAGCTCCCCACAACACCCCTCTGAGGTCAGGAAGTACTATCACCATTTCACAGACACAGAACTGAACCACGGAGACTTCCTGTGTGACTTCTGGCAAGTCAGCCTGTGGCAAAATCAAGAATACAGCTTCACTCTACTAGGTCCCAGTCCTACTGCCTTGTCTATATAGTTCATTTTGCCCTTTCCAACTGGCTATGGCTCATTTGCTGCATTGCCATGCAAGTTTTTTGGCAACCAAGGCCAGGGAGCTAAGGGCTTCAGCTTTGTTTCAGGCCATACCCTGGAGCTGGTATGATGAATCAAGCAGGATGCTCTAGGCTCTCTACAATTTCAGTACAAAGCCTTGTCTTGTAATCATTGTTTTCAGCAGATGCATGATAAACAGAACCAAGGAGGTGATACTTCCCCTCTATCGGGCACTGGTCAGACTGCAGTTGGAATACTGTGTCTGGTTTTGGGCACTGCACTTCAAGAGGGATGTGGATAACCTGGAGAGGGTCCAGAGAAGGGCCACTCATATGGTTAAGGGCTTGCAGGCCAAGCCCTGCGAGGAGAGACTAGGGCACCTGGACCTCTTCAGCCTCCGCAAGAGAAGGTTGAGAGGTGACCTTGTGGCTGCCTATAAATTCATCATGGGGGTGCAAAAGGGAATTGGTGAGCCTCTACTCACCAAGGCGCCCCTGGGAGTTGCAAGAAATAATGGCCTTAAGCTAGCAGAGAGCAGATTTAGACTGGACATTAGGAAGAACTTCTTTACAGTTCGAGTGGCCAAAATCTGGAATGGGCTACCAAGGGAGGTGGTTTTCTCCCCTACCCTGTGGGTCTTCAAGAGGAGGTTAGATAGGCATCTGGCTGGGGTCATCTGACCCAGCACACTTTCCTGCCTATGCAGGGGGTTGGACTTGATAATCTATTGAGGTCCCTAGCATTCATGAATCTATGTTATGGAGCAATCCTTTGGATGATGTCTTTTACTCTCAGCCTCTCTTAATATCATTTCCTTATTCTAAAGCGTGTGTTCAGAACATGGTTGTGCTTCTGTAAGCTTGGGAAGAGGTCATGAACAGCTGAAATAAGTTTGAGCAACTTTAGGGATATTGCACTTCTACACAGAAGAATGTGCAAAGAGGGTCTTGAGCATCTTTGTCTTCCACTCATGTCCTACAACAAATACAGCTCAAGTGGACCAAGGGTGAGACCTGGAAAACACCCCTGCACATCCAAGGGACTCTCAAGAGGTCATCTATTTATTGGCAGTGGATTATATAAACGCACATACACTAATAATGTAACAGATTTGACATAACCCAGTGCAAATGGCTAAAGCGTGATTTCTGTATACTTCTAATTCAACCAAATCAGATTAAATCATTGTTAAACCAGGGAAAGGCACATATGTGGCCTGAATGCTGTACCTCTGCCAAACTTCAAGTTTCCATCACCTGCTGCTGAGGTGCTAAAGCTGTTCAAAAATAGTTTGCCATCATGTTTTCTTAAGAGAGAAACACGTTCTCAGTTCTCAGGCTCCTTGCATGCTTCTTGGCTGATACTTCCAGGATAGAGAAAGTGCTCTCAAGAGTTGAAAAGAAGCAGAACAAATTGCTGCCCAAAAGGATAAAATTTTGAGAAAATTACAAGCAACCAAAAGATGATTCATGTTGTGGACACTTAAGCTCTGCCTATGGTTAAAAGTACCATGCAGGGTGACCTATCATACAGTTTCATTTGCCATAGCATTGGGGCGGTCAACCTTCACAAATTAAACCCTATGCTCTCCCCAGGTGCCATTCCAATCCTCTTCCCTTGTCTGATTTGCTGCTTTGCTTTCTGCTCCATGTCCTCTCTGTCATTATGCTTCCTGCCCCCTCCTTGATCTGTCTCGCACCATACACACATACTGCCATACCACTCCTGGCACTCATGTTGCAGGATGGTTACCCTATGCTATAAAAACATAGGACTGGAAGGAACCTCTGCATTTGCAGGTGACCTATTCTTCAAGAGTCGACAAAGATGTTTACTCTAATCCCTTGCATAAATGGTAGTGTAAGATGGTGTTGCATCTGTGATCATCCAGGAATTATGCAAATCAAGGACTTAAGGTGCTCTGCCTGACTTGTTCTGGTCAGACCTGATGAAGAATGTCTTGCTTTCAGAAGCTTTCCTGACTCTATTCCAGCTACACAGTTAGTCCAATAAATATGTCACTAAAAAATTTTTGCCCTTTTCATAAAAGTACCCTATATACTGAAGGGGGGGGAACCCCTAAGGAAGAGCCATAGGAAAAGAGCGGAAGTACATGGATGAGCTCCCAATGCCTTGCCATCTTTTAAGTTAAAATATGCCCAGGTGGCCCAAAGAAGAAACTGAGGGTCACATTAGAGAAAAGTTTAAAAAAAAACAAACAAAACAAAACAAAAAACCCAACAAACAAATAAACCAAATCCACAGTCCATGCCAGTCTGACCTGGAGAAAAAATCTTTCTCGACTCCAACTGGCAGTTGCTTTGGCCCTGTACTTATGCGAGTGAGACCTAACATAAGGCAGGCACCTGCAAAGGTTTATGGGTAGTAGATGTAATTTCTCTTTCATTTGCCACCTGTTTTTTCTTGCACCAGTTGTCTCTGAGGTTAGTGTC